CTCCTATGTATACCTCAGAACCCTCTAGGTTCTCTTGCTTATACACTTCTATGTATACCTCAGAACCCTCTAGGTTCTCTTGCTTATACACTTCTATGTATACCTCAGAACCCTCTAGGTTCTGTTGCTTATACACTCCTATGTATACCTCAGAACCCTCTAGGCAGCAGTTTTCTGCTACTCCTTAGGGAGGCTCACATATAAGATCTCCTGCATATCAGATATTTACATTATGATTGACAAGAGTGGCAAAGTTACAGCTATGAAGTAGAAATGAAATGCTATGGTTGGGGTCGCCACAACATGAGGAGCTGTATTAAAGGGTCGCAGCGTTAGGAGGGTGGAGGACTACTGCTCTAGTTCACCGACTTCTCGCTCCCTGTGGCCCAGCTGTGTGTCAGCAGGAATAGGCAGCTCACTCAGCCCTGGAGATGAAACGCATAGCGAACATCAGCACCCCGCCCCCAATCCTTCCTTGTCTGAACCAGAAAGAGGATTCGTCTTCATTTTGCTAGAAAACTGTTTATTTAAAGAATACTAAAGGCCAGGGCCTGTTTGCGGATGGAGGAGGGAGGAGTTGGCTGAGCCAGGCTGAAATGGGGGCTCCTGTCCACGGAGTCCAGTCTGGGGGAGCTGAGGGAGCCGGCAGAGGCAGGAGGGCAGGCGGACCCCGAGCATTGGGCACCTCAGCAGCTGGCGAGGTACATCCCTGCGGGGACAGAACAGCGGTGCGTGGGGCTCCCGCGTGAGCTCCCCCTCCCGACTCCCCATCGTATCTTGCTCCTCCAGTCCCCGTGCAGCAGCTACCTGTGGCGAATCTCCGCTTCACCAGGGACATGCGGTAGCCGCCACCCAGCAGCTCTAGGTCCAGGCCGGACAGCGTGGCGCCCTCACTGGTGAACTGCGCGGCCACGGGGCTGGGGGTGCTGGGCCCCGACTGTGGCTGCCAGCTGGCGGATAAGTGGCCCGAGCCTACGGGGCTAGGGGTCAGCCTCGACTAAATCAGATCTCGTGAGCCCCTCCCCTAGACCCGGGTCCAGGAGTCCAGGATGCGTTTCTGCCACAGGCCCTTTGCACAGATCGGTCCTGTCCCCTGAGAACCCTCTTCCAGAATTCATCAGTTCCCATGAGCTAGAAGTCCAGTTTTAACAAACTGTCCACCCGCGATTTCTCCCATGCAGCAGCCCTCATCAGAGCTGTGACTTACCCCCTGCCTCACACACATCTGGAAGCTTCCACGTGAACCTCTTTTCCTCTGTGTTCCTGGTGGCAAGGGAATCTGGGTCAGACTCGACAGAGAGGACTCTGGCAGTCAGTGTGGCCTCTGCAAACCCATGCCTCAGTTTCCCGGGACACTGGTTTGCTGGTTTGTATGTTCCCAGTGGGACAGGGTGGCTCACCAGGTGGCCGCAGGCTGTAGCCGCACACTGGTCACCTGCTCCCCCACGGGCAGCAAGATCTGGACGTTAGTGAGTGGCGTGGACACAGCAGTGGCGCCCGCACGGTAACTGTACTCCACTGAGACCCGCGTGAGCGTGGGCCCGCACTGCCAGTGGGCGCTCATTTGCAGGGGCACTGACTCAGGTCCAGGGCGGGAGAACTAAGGAATGAAAGGATAGAGGTAGCTGGGAGACATCTCCACGTCTGGCCACACGGGCTACGCAGCTGCTGACCCCCAAATCCCGAGCCTGGTCCAAGCAATGTGCAACCACTAGGACCATACGCAGTACCGCGCGTGGCCAGCAGAGGGCAGGAGAGCGCAGAGGCCACAGCACTATTAATTGCATGTTTGCGGGCCCGTCCTCGCCCCCTCCCCGCGCAGCCCCACCTGGTACCGCAACAGCACCAGGTTGTAGTAGGAGGCGGTGGGATTCTGCTCAGCCTGGTGCTGCAGGGCCTCCGTCAGCGCCGCCATGTTCAGCCAGAAGTCTTTGGTCTCCGGGTCACTCTGGGAGGGGTCACTGTAGAGACAGGGACGGAACATTCTCACCCCTCGGGAGATGCCCTCCCACTCCACACTGGGCTACTGTGGGTGGCAGTAGTAGGTCCAGAGAAGAACTGCCATTTGCCCCATGCCACACAGCAACTAGCAGGCAGCGCTAGAGCTATTTAAGGCCCTGGGCCTCTGGCTCCACTGACAGCTGGGACCCTCTCCCATTGCCCATGCAAGGCACCTGAAAATCAGGTCAGCGTTGGGCTGGAAGTGTTCCACAGGGGCTGTGTGCACCAGCCGGAAGCTGAGGACAGGTGGTGGTGGGGTCCCACTGA